CATAACCATATAATATATCATGTAGATTATATGGTTATAGAGACTATTTTCTTTGGCTCTTTAATTACTTGGCCCTTATCCCAAAGATTTATGATAGTTCCTGTTTATAAATAATATACAGGGTATCCCAAAAAATGTATACACACTTTGACAGCTGATAGCTCAGTTTTAAAAATGAAATGTATTTTAATAAGTACTGCCTTTATAGTTATTCAAAAGTGTGTGTATACATTTCTAGGACACATTATATGTATCGGATTATGTTCCCATTAATATTTCTGTTACACTTGAGAAAATATGGTAGATTTTCTACAAATTACTCCTGAAATAGAATGGTACTGAGGAGTGATGTGTAATCAGTCATTTTATTAACAATTTACCATCTACAATATGCTGTGAACTGTAATTAAACACAAGAAAGGGATAAAGACATAATAAGTAGTAACCTCATTAGGAGCACCAATCTGCGAGAATAATCATCTAATTTAGAAAGAAGATAGATTAAGTGTCACCTGTTATAAGTTTCAACCTTTGGATACATGTTTTCAGTAATTTGATATGGCTGTAATAAAAGATGCCCAAGTTAAATATTTCATATATTTTCTTTTTTGTTGTTATTGTTAATCCTCATCCGAGGATATGTTTCCATTGATTTTTTAGAGAAAATGAAAGAGAGAGAGACAGACAGACAGAGAGAGAGAGAAACATTGATGTGAGAGAGACACATCAATTGGTTGCCTCTCTCACACACCCCAATGAGGGATGGGATCGAGCCTGCAATCAAGGAATCGAACCTGGGACCTTTCAGTCCGCAGGCTGATGCTCTATCCACTGAGCCAAACTGGCTAGAGCTTCATATATTTCCACTTGTTTTAAGTGAATAATTTTCACTTGTTTTATTTATTATATCTGCCTTGAAATAATATATAAATACCACTTTTTCACAATGGAAAACTGCTTTGTATGTTTTTATTCTTATAGTTCTAATATTATGCCATAAATTTGACTGGGATCAAACCTGCAACCTTGGCATATGGGGACAAAACTAACCAACTGAGCTAACTGAGCTAACTGGCTAGGGCTGGTCCTCAGTACGTGTTAAATAAGTAAAGTGGAGAATTCTCTTTGGGCATTAAATCAGCCAGACCAATTGCTCTATAGTCCAATACTTATGTTCATACAAATATCATCATGATAATTTCACTGAACTAGTTTTTTCCCTTAAAAGTTCAAATATTAAAAATTATTCCATTCTTCTTCACCCATTTCTTATCAGGGGAACAAAAAACACAGTCTTAAATTTCATAGAAACTGAATAATGGCATGGTTAAATAGGCTGACCAAAGTTAGTTAGTCTAGAATTAAAATGCAAGTCTCCATATTCACATAACTATTGAGTACCCAGACTATTCTGAATGCATTTTTTGTGTGCTGTCTTGAAAGCAGTAAGTTTTTAAAAAAAAATTTGTAAGGAAATCTATATTTTTCCTTACTTTTAGTTTTTTTGGAATTTAATTGTAACCAGAAATCATGGCAAAATACTGAGTTATGTTTTTGAGGATAGGATAGAAGTATTTCACAAATCATACATATTTACAGTATGTTTTACAGTTTATTCCAATATCCTTTTGGAACAAAGATTACATGGCATTATTTTTTGCCCAATTTCAAGAACCCAATTTTAGCAATTTAAATTGTTCCCTAAGTTTCTTCCTATCTTGATACTTCTGTGGTTTCTACCTAACTCTAAATCAGTATAAGAATAACTATTAAAATGATAGAATTATTCACGGATATAAATGTCCAAAAAGATATATTCTAACAATAACTCTACATTGGAGAATTATGGTGGTTTAATATTTTTTTTCCTTTTGAACTCTATCTATACTTTCTATTTATTTTGATAATACAAGTGTACCACTTCTGTCATTTAAAATTTAAGATTAAGAAGAAGCATAATCTAATCATCTTCATTTACTTCCCTGATAGTATAAGTTGCTGAAGAAAATTACATAGCTAATCTAAATGGAGTACCCAGATTATTATTCCCAAGAAATTCTTGTAGTTTTTCATAGTCAGCTCTCTTTCACACTCCCTTTGACAGCTGTACCAGTCACTGTGAACTCCCTAAAGCAACAGGGTAGTGTGCCATCTCACATCTAACATCCGATCTAATTTGGCATAAGAGATCCCCTCTTATAATCTTCCTAGTAGCAATTATCTTCACATGGTCATGATGTTTACAAGGAAATCAGCATTTTGCGACTGAGGAGTATGAATGCCCATAGTTCCCTCTTGTGCATTACTACTGTGCATGACACCTGGGGAGTCATCCCTCAGAGCAGGAGGGGAAGATAGGGAGAGAAAACTGCATGAAAAGCAGCAAATTCATGAGGAAATTCAGTGTTTGGTCACACCAGTCAGTAGGTTCAGCCAAAGGAATTTCCTGTGGTTAAGAGTTACCATGTGATATGCTTCCTAATATTTAACAAAACCAGTAGCATGCATTTCTCTGTTTCTGTGGTTTTTACTTTTTAGTTTGACCAGCACAGGTTATATAAACTCATTTCTAAATCTATAATTTACAATAGGAACACAAAAACAAAGAAGACTTAAAGCCACAGCATGGTTAGTAATATTGATTTTATTTTTTAAATGCAGCAGGGAAGTGGGTCATGAAATTTGAATGATCAGACTTTGATTCAAAAATTCCAGTTCTACTTAATAGCCATGAAATTATAAGCATGACATTTAATCTCTCTGAGTTTCATTTAGTCCATCAACGCATTAGAAGAATATTAGTAGTCCATAAAATAATTGAGAGAAAGAGATATAATTGCATAGCAACATGCTTATATTCACTCAAACTATAGTAGCTTGAGAAAATTTGCACTGTCTTGGCCTACTTCCAACATCTGCTCTACAATAGCCTAGATTAGATTATGTGCTAGGTTATTACTAGATAACAAGTCTATGCTTTTGGAGAAGAGTTCAATATTTATTAGACAATATATTTTTTTCTAGATGATCTTAGCTATCGCTGGCTTCTAAATGAATTTCCTGTGTTTATCACAATGGATAAACGAAGATTTGTATCTCAGACAAATGGCAATCTCTACATTGCGAATGTTGAGGCATCAGACAAAGGCAATTATTCCTGCTTTGTATCCAGTCCTTCTATTACAAAGAGTGTATTCAGCAAATTCATCCCACTCATTCCAATACCTGAACGTAAGTATTTTATTTGTTATATTAGAGGCCCAGTGCATGGATTTGTGCACATTGAAAGGAAATTAATTAGAAGGTGGCTGGTGGGGTAGGACTGGGCAAGACGGGCTGGACAAATCCTGGAGCCAACCTCCCACAGTCCCTCCCCAGCCAGCCACACCTGGGGCTCGAAGGTCACTTGTGGAGTGAGTGGGGTCCCTTCCAGGTGGGTCTCTCAGCCTGGCCTGCAGGGATCAGACTGAAACCGGCAGTCCAACATCCTCCACAGGGTCCCAGAGTGGGAAAGGGCACTCTGCAAAGTTGCTGTTGCTCAGCAGCTCCTGCATTGAGTGTCTGCCCCCTGGTGGTCATTGTGTGTCATATCTACCACCCAGTCGCCAGTCAGCCAGTCGCTTAGCCTTTTATATATATATAGATTCTGTTTTTGCAAGGTTGTCTGCTTCTGGAATATCTACAGTAATGAAAAGAAATATCCAGTCAGGAGATGCACTGGCTGCTCAGTCAGGGCAAACAAAGGATGCACACTCTAAGAGTATTGATCCTTCCTTAGCTTTTTCAGTAGAGGTGATTAGCATTATGAAAGTAACCTAAGATGGCAGAGTTCGGACTGATTGCATCTAGTTCAGGAATGCAAAGTACTGATTTATTAGCCAAATATCAGTATATTAATTACAAGGCATTCACTGACATCTACTTATTTTCATGGTCATTCACACTTAGTAAGTTCATGAAGGAGAACAAATAATTAGATTTTAATTGTATTATTACAGAATGAGGGGGAAAGGCAGTTGGATTAATTTGATATTTTCAAGGAACTATTTACATGAAGCATATTGGTATATAAATTGCCTTTCTGATGTAAATAATTAGCATATATAGTACTACTGTGGCACCATATGCTATAATCACTGATGTAATTGACTGTCCTTTTCTCTGGCTCCTATTGAACTACCTTCGTTTTTTAATGTATCATCTCTTCAGAAAATCAGAACACAACTTATTTGCTTACATCATGTTGTTTTTATCTCAAGCATGCTGCTACATATCACTGAGTTCAGGTCTTGAGGATATACTGGTTTCATTGTTGACAGCTTTAGGTTTGTTTCCTGCCTCTACCCTTAAATAGGGTATGATGATGAGGAAAATGTCATCATATCACTGATTCCATTTTTGTCACTCTTCTCAAGATAGAGGCCATGTGGTTGGTTGGTATTCAGTAAATATCTTTTGACTTTCTGGCTCTTTTTCTCTCCCTAATCTCAGTAGTGTTGACATAAGAAATGTCCAAACCTGTAGATAATTTTTATACGAGTTTATTTGAGCCAAACTGATGATATATGCTGGGAAACAAGATCTCAAATATTCCAGAAAATAACAGTTTTGAAGTTTCATTTATGCATGCGAGATTAAGGAGGGGACATAAAGAAGATTACATGAAAGTGGGAGGAAGCAAGGAAGAGATTGGATTACAGAATAAAAATGCTCT